ACGTAGATTTTATTCTAGTTCCTAAAGAACAACATTACATATTAACTATAAACAAATACTATGACTTAAACGAACGATTACACTCAAGACTAAATGACAATACTTACGAATACATTTGTGGGTACAAGAAATCGGTTTTACGGCAGCCAAATACTGCAAAACGGCCTAGCTTGCGCTAAGCGAACGGCTACTAACTAAATTTATGCGATATACAAAATGAATACTGAAAAACCTGAATACATTTTAAAGTTTATAAAAGGACAAAAGGCTAAGCTAAACAAAGTACAAAACAAGATTAACAAAATTCTAATTACACACACAAGGGACGAAGGGGGAAACTGTCGAACTAGTTGATCTATCAATTCCTCCTCTGTGTTGGCAACAACATTTAAGTGCTGAACACATGGTTTTCCAACAAAAAGGACTTGCATCGTTTCCAACTGCCCTTGTCAGTGTATACCCTGAAAAGTGTAACAAGTATCTACAATAAGCACAAACAATAACAGTGTTCATACAGGTTTTAGTACAACATAGAGTCATTCAACTACAGACTTACTAATTATAATAAGGCTTTAATGATTACATGTAGCGATTCAGTTATCAATTTGCATGTAGTTCATGACTCTATTAAATGTCAATGTATTTTAAATAAGTTTCCATTTATCTGAGATCATATTTAAATGGAAAAGCATGGTAATATAAGAGTAAGACCGTAATTAAATATTATTATGAAATAGGTTCAATGGGAACCTATTTTTGTTATCATTTGTTTGTTTAAAGTTTTTATCAACCTGATTTTGGCTCTGCTTTTGTTGCAGCAACATACAAAATGTCTTGCTTGCCATCGGAGGTAAGAGCTTCCATCTTTAATGGAAGTGGTTTCCTAACCATTATTATGTACTTGTTGATTTTGTTTCTGGTATTTATACCAGAAACAGCTCTGATGATGCCATACACAATTTCAACATTCCAGTCTTGAAACAGATAAACATTTGGTAACACCTACCTCATTAAGTCATTTAAGATAACCATTTCAATCATCAATACAGTTAGTTGAACGTGAATTTTACAAATTATACTCGATCTAACGATATCATCAATTTTACAATAACATGATTACTTATCTCGACAAAAGAATTTACAGTAATACATGAAAAAAAGACCTAACGATATTCAACCTAAAGATACCTGGATTTTACGATCAGCGGTCAGCTGACATGGAAACGAAATATTTCAAAATGGACGACGGTGGAGAAAGTGCACGTGTGATGTGTTAAAGAAATTCATAGTTTCAATCACTTTTGCATGTAGGAATTTTTACATGACTTTAAAATATGCTTAAACTGTTGTCTTAGAAGTTCAACGATTGTTTAGGAATGTTTTTTTCTTGAAGAAAAAGTTCTATATTTGCCGTTTGTTTCAAGAATTCGCTTCTTTAAGAAAATGGCGCCCATAAAATTTTGGTTTGCAACAGCCTAAAGTTGTCAAATTCTTGGCAYGATTGGAAGTTTTCTCAACTTAAGGTAAGCATTTATCGTATAAAACTTTTCATTGTTGTACTTTATTTACCWGTTATGCTCTATTTACATTTTTTTACAAAGACTTTATTAGACATTTTGTATAACCTACTAAATCTATATTGGTACGATCATTCCTTCTACTGTTTTCCCGCCAAGGTAATCTGCCGCGCGCGTCAACTTTTTTCCCGCCGTTTTATTGAGAGTTCACAGATAAAGAACATTTTTTCGGGTTTTCCTTTGTCTGTACTGTTGGGCATGGACTCACATAATAAATTCAAAGACCTTACTTGGAAGGAGTTCAAAAATCTTGAATATGAAGAGAAAATGGCTGGCTTGTGGTACTATATGGCAACGGAGTAAGTAAGATTACATTGTTAGTAGTAATTTTCTGTTATTGAATTGAGTTTATTTTTTCCATTGTAGATTCGACTTTTGAGCTTGAATTTAATTAATAAATTCCTGATATGTCTTCTCCTTTAATTAGCACAAGACCAAAGAAAGAAATTGATTACAACGATGAAGAATTGTAAGAATTGACCTTTTTCAATAATTACATTGTATAAGCGATCCTATTGTTCTTTTGATTCATACATGTTGTTTTTTGTGTAATTGTAAGTTGTGTATCTTAATCAACCACAGAACATGACACTGYATGTTTTAATATTCAGGACTGCAGTGGAAAAGCAACTAGAAGAAGACAAGTGTATGAAAAGAAGGGAAGRGCTGAAGAGGCGTTTAGAGGAAGAAAAAAAAAGAAGAAGAAAAAGCTAAAGAAGAAGAAAATAAATTTATAGAAGCAAAAACTCAACTTTTTCTCTAACTTAAGAGTAATTGGTCTCAAAAATAAGAAAATAAAACATATTTCATTTTTATGTTCAGAATTTGATAAGCATTTCACCATTTACTTTTATTTCTTTTAGTGGCTCTTACAAGAACCCTTTGATTTTCTGTATCTGAAATACATTTGGGTTCTTCTTTCTTGCCTTGTTGTTGTTCTTGTGGTTCGTTGTTCTGGCTCCATACCATTAAAATCAAATTATGGCATTTTCCATTCTGATTTGTACTGACACCTCTGAACAACATTTCTGACTTGAATCCATAGAGTGAGTAGTGGATAGAGGCCGAAACTGGCGCTTTTTTTAATTCTTTTTCTAGCGCCCGCCCACACGGCTAGCCACTCGATTTTTTGTTAAAAAACGCGCTTTTTGTTAAAAATCCACTACTGTGAGAATTAATAATAGAGCGTTTATTTTAATAAGTTCGCGTATTGTGAATTAGTTTTATATTTGTTATATATAATGAGGCGTGTGAATGATGAATACCAACTGCTTACGGATGCTNGAATCCATTCAATTATTTTATCAAGCAATGACCTAATAAAACATGAGACTTATCCTTACCAAAAGGCACTTGTTTGTATGATTACCATTGAAAGAGCCCCCATGATATGCTTGCCGTTGTACTCCAAGCTTATTCAAAGTCTCATTCAATTTGACAATGCAAGGGCCCTCTCCTTGTTTTAAAAGTGAAGACTTCTGTAACTGTTCATTCTGAAAGAATTGAAGTAGATTTATTTTTGCTTGTAAATTGTCTTTTTAACAGCAATGAAAAAGAGAGTGCAGCAATGTAGAGTGGTTTTCATTTAGCTAGTACAGTAATTAAAGTAGAGTACAAACATTAAATGTGTGCAACACGTTCCACTATTTACTACAAAATAGTGTTCATTAAACAATAGAAAAGAAAATAGAATTAGCATAATTAAGCAGTATTTAATGGTATTTATGTTGCACAGTTTTAGTGTTTGAACTCTAATAGCCATTTTTAAACAATAGAAAACAAAGGAATAAGAGTGTAAAAACAATTATGGGGTATATTTTACCCGATATTACAATTCATGGTCTAACAAACCTTATTGCTTTCTCTGTTTGCCAGAAAGTTTGCCATGTCTTTGTCAAATGCGCGAAATGMTGCAGTAAGAAGCTCGTATAATCGTTCAAAGATCCCAATGCTAATATGTAAGCCAGGTAAGCATACCTTAAAAAGTTTAGAAAAATAAAAATAAAATAATTAAATGTACAAAATAGCCTGATTTGTTATGAATATTTTACAAATTTGCTGTTTGCTGATTGACAAAGTGTGCTGAAAAAGCTATATGCTTCAAATATACAAAGCCATTGATCGTGCATGCACACATGAAATCAGCAACAAGTGTCTGCGCCCTTATTGTAAGAAAAAAAAAACAGTAAATAGACAAACCAGTACCCTAGCTAGAACTCACTCAAGTGTGAAAAAAATTCTATTGATTGGGATGCAACTTATAAATATACCTGGTCAATTGGGATATTTAGAAGTGGTGGTCTTATAGCATTGCTATATTGCTTTGCTCTTCCAATATTTTCACCATTTTCTTTGAATTTTTCATAGTCACTCAATAACTTTTCTAATGTCCTTTCTTCTTTAAGACCTCTCTCAGACAGGGGTAACTTCAATTCCGCTTGAGTAATCAAGCACCATAGACAACAGTGCTCACCTAAGAGTAGATGTATTTTATATTATTACTTTAATGATTTTGTTACGAAAATAGTTTTTTTTTAACTTTCAAAACTAACCAGAAGCTCCAGAAATTCCACATAGGTCACATAAGAAAGCATAGTCTCCAAAGACAAAAATCTTAAATATCTTATCTCTKTTGAAAAAAATACGGTAATTATGAGAGATCTTTATTAATTCAATTAAAGATTTTGTATTGTGTCCACATGTTTGTTTTCACTGCTACAAGAAAGCTTTGTCTCTACATGACAAAGGCAAAATTGATAATTTATCTTAATCATATTATAAAGGATGCTTTATAAAGAATGCGTTTTTTGTTGTGATTTATATATGGTAGAGGATAATTTAAACAAATAATTACTAAATCATTAGGTACCTCAATTTTGTGCTCTGCAAATGTTCCACTTCACATTTGTAATGACCAAGGGCCAATTTTAGATTATCACGATTATCAGGGGCTTCAAATGCTAAGTAGACCACTGTGTTTTGCTTAGAGTTTGGTTTTTCCAAGTTAGCTATTTCAAAGGCCATTTTGAATGACCCTCCCCCTTTGTCCCCTCCAAGTTTAATCCATATTTCATTTTTGGGAATTATTCCATGCCAGACAAGTCTGTTATGCCTGGAAATACAACATAAAAGATCAGATTGGATACATGTATCTGGTACATCATTTACCTCATAGCTATAT